TTTCGCCAACTCTCTTCCGAAGCGGCGCCTGCGACTCAGCAGACTTCACCTTCGCCCGCAGGGGGAGGACGATCACGGAGCCATCCACCACTGGGGTATCGGTGTCCTGGCGTCGGCATCGTCATTCGTGGCTTGAATTGGGTTGGAGATTAAATGGGTCTTCCCTCTGTGGATTCCATGCCGCACTCGTGTGTGGCAAGCGGCCCCTCACTTGCTCGGTACAGTGCAGGGTACCCTTTTTGCAGTTGGCTAACTGTTGGCTATGGTTGGCTACGGAAACGACTGGATGCACGTGATTTTAGTGTCCGAAGCCTCTATTTTGACGAGCCATACCCATTGCGCAACCTCTAAACAGTGGCTGTCTTTTGGCACCCAACAAAAATCAAGCCCATTTATGAACCTTGGCCGGGTGGTATCTAAAAGAAAACCAACAAGAACCCGACCATTCGGGGACCCCTACTCTGGAGGAACGAAATTCATCAAAGAAACCATGCGAAACCCATCGTTGGTTGACATTTACGGGGAGTGCGTTGGATGGATGTCGCAGCCATCCACAGTACCCTAGGGTTCACCCCAACCCCAGGCAGAATTTTATGAGAAACCGCCACATACCCCACAGCCGCAAAAACAACATTCACTTCGGGTCTTGACTCACCTCAGTTGTTCAGTGACCCTGGAAAAAAAAGGGAACCCTTTCTGGGGAAGGCAATTTTTAGTGGGGCAGCCACAAAAAAAAGGAAAAAGGGTGCCACTGAACAACTGACTCACTGTCCCCATCACTCGTCCCCGTGACTTCTCTCAACTTCTCTCTTTCGCCTTTTTGAGCTTCGCCGGCTGGTTGACAGACTTCGGCCTCGAAAAGACGGGCATAAACAGGAGAGGCCAATGCCATGGGGGTGACTTACGCGTAAAACGAGCTTTTTCTTGATGGAGCACCCCAGAAAGCGCACCACTCAGAGCATTTGTTTCTGAGCAGAAAGATGCGGAGTCCGAATTTCACAACAAAACATCCGTTTAACATGTCCTTGGATGCCATTGCTGCAGGTTGTTTCGTCACTTTTTGGGTTTCAAGCATAGTGGCGAACAACAACTTGATTTGGTTTATTTCGCATGGCCACCCAGAGTGAGTAGGTTCTACTACCTGGCTTTCTGAAATGTTGGGCATAAACCTTTGTAACTTTAATTATAAACCAAATGTCAGTGGGTTAGCAGCAGCAGTAGCTGCAGGGCGGTGCTCAGGTGCAGAGGTATCGAAATCCCGCCTTTGCTTCCTTTGCACGGGCGGGGTTTTGGGCGCTGCTCACCTGACCTCAAATTTGTGACCAAGCTGCCGGGAGTTCATACCAGGGCTTCATACTGTTGATGAACGAAATCCTGCACCATTTTGAAATCCTGGGAAAACCGCTGCTTGTTGGCATTTACAGGGGAATCATCATTCCAGGGTTTCTTAGGTGGTGTAGGATTTCGTCCATCCACAGTACGGATTCACGAACAGTTGCAAGTGCACTGACCACATCCAGCCACAGCCGCGATAAACTGCTTGGCAGCAGTTTCGCCCTTAGTTGAACAGAAAGGAGGCAGCCACCACACTGGTGCATCCGTGCCCTTCCCTTCCACTTATAGGTCCTCCAGTAAAGAGGTTAGAATAAGGGTACCAACTCTTTTCTGTAGTCTATTTTAGTCGGGGAACCCTCCCCCCAAAAAAGGGGAGAAAAGGGCACCTAGCTGGGGGACCTAGACTTGCATAAGGTATCCCCCGGTTGCGGTTCGTGAAGCCAGGACTGTCTTCTGCCATCCCACCACTCACTTCCGACCGAGTGGGTTGGCGAATGTTTGTTACTAACATGGTCCAAACCCAAGTCACGACGGTCCGAAACGGAACTCAGGGAGCGAGACCCAACATGGAAGCGCCCAGGCCGTTCGGAAACAAAACACAGCTGTCCAAAAGGTCTCTGCACAAAACCATGCTTGTTGATCGGGCGGAGCTATGGAGCAACCCTGACATCCAAATTCCTGGTGGAAACAAGTGTGATTTGCCAACACCCAACTCCCAACAACATCAGAAGCCGAGTTTGCCAAACAACTAAACAACATGCCAACAGTGAAGCCGAGCTAGACCCAACCCCCAATGGATTTCAATTTTACAAAACAAAAATGGCACCCTGTTGTGTTGCTTGCTGTGAAAAGGCAACCCCCTCCCTGCAAGCAACAAGTTGAAACAAGGGCACGGGATATTCCTTGTACCGCTCCCGTTGGGACTCCTTCAAACAAACGGCTGAAAACGGGGAGCAACCCACCGGCGTTCTGTTTGGGGAGAAGGCACGAAGGCTTGCCATGCAGCTTACGCCGGCTGACTTCCGGCGTGCTCGTCGCTCGTCAAGTGCCAAGTAAAGGCTGCATGTATACGTCCAAAGATGAGTCCCTAGGAATGAAAAACCATAGTTTATGGGTTCGTGAACCACTCGTGCTGGCTTTATGAAAAATCAGCCCCGTGGGTCCAAAATAGCCATGGCGTGCCTTAAAATAGGGATACCGGGATACAAAAAAAATGGTGCGCTTCCTTTTGGGTTCCCGGTACAGGACCACCCCCGAGAGAAAAAAAAACAAGGTGAAGAACCCCAAGGGCCGGGCCCGCACATGCCGGTGCCGTTGGAGGACACGTCCCTGACGCGGAGATGTGCCGCACCTCGCACGCGTCGAGTGCAGCTCACTGGTGGGTTTCCTGGCTGGGCGGTCGGTTTTCAGATCTGCTAAAAGTGACTAACTTTTAGCGGGAAAAATCGACATCCAACCACTAAACACTAAGCCAAAAAGCTAAGGAACCGGATGGCTGGGAGCCACCAAGTGTCGGTGTCCCTCTCAACATTAACCAGGAGGGGTTACGCAGAAACCTGGTCCATGTTTCCACTTAGCAGGCTTCAATGTTGGTACCGGTTCTTTGAGCCACAGCCATATCCTTCAGGTGGCAAAGGCTTGGGGTTCCTTTGAAACCACTTTGTGCATCATGCACAGGGCAACCTGCATTTACCCTGCCGGCCAACGCCCAGTACATGAAAGCCCTTTCGGAGGAAATTGCTTCCCACCCCAACGGTCAGGTTCCATGTCAGTGGATGGAAGGCTCAATAAAATTCCTGACAAGGGCTTATTTTCAAGGAACTAAGCCCATGCAAAATGGAAAAGCCTTCCAGGCAACACCTTTGGGTGTGTCTGTTTTAGTGAAACTCAAAAAAGTATGGTTTTCCTTTTGGCTTCCGTAAAACACCTACCAAATAGGGGGTTGCCCCAAAAAACAACAAGCCCATTTGTTGCGAAATGGTTGGCCGGAAAAGGAGTGGGAGGAAAACACAGTGAGCCCGCTGGTCTCTGCGGGCCAAAATCATGAGCCCCCCACACCCTTCCCAAATGGACATTAAACGACAGCGTGGTTACCTTCCTTCTTGACAGAGCTGCTTTCAACTGAGCCCGCCGCTGACCTGTCCGCCACTGGGAGGCTTCAGTAACCTAAGGCTGGTTGGAGGCTCCGGTCCACCAACACTTCCATTCGCGTGTTTGCCCGGAGAAACATGTCCAGTGAAATCGGTGGCCCTGTAAAATCAACACAGGGGAACTCACACATCATCCCTGAAGCAAATGAAAGATGGAACACACCGGCTCCCTTTAAAGGCACATCGTGTTCCAGCAACCCCCTGTGAGGTTCCATAAACAATGACATGTCTGGATGATTGGGCATACTTAGTGAAGCTCGAATGCGAGAACTCCTAGCGCTTCTCTTGTGTGTTTGCATTAATTACTTGTATCCACCTGAGCAAGGCCACCAGAATGTGCGGTTGCTTCTTGACTTGGTAGTCAGCTTGGAAATCAAATGATTCCTGAATTCCTACCTTGAAGGCTTGTTCATCTTAAACCGGAAGTCCCCCGGGCTGAAAGGGGCAAGTTGGCGTCGCGGGTACCCTCCGCAAGACAGCTTCGAAGTGTGCTTCCAGCTTCCAACCGTAGCAACAAATCAACGTGTCTGAAGCTTGAGTGCTTGGTCCGAAAACGTCAAACAAAACATCATGGTGGCCCTTCCTACTCAGCTTCACAGAGGCGCTTGTTTCAGGTCCCTCGATTCGGGGGTCACCAAACCGCCTTTCACCCAACAAAAAACAAGAACCCAAGTTGAACCGGACGATTCGCTAGGAAACCGAACCGCCAAGAGAAGGAAAACAAAAAACTGGATCACCGAAAAGCCGAGTCGCCGCCCATTTTACACCCCCGCTGGACCACCCAAAACTAAGTGAACACCGAAGTTGCACCAAACAGCTGGTTCCGAACCGCAAAAACGGTTCAAAGCTGAAAGGCGCACATCTTCAGGGGATCCGAGTGCCAAAAAAGACAAGCCCAGTTCAAGCTGCCGCTTTGGCGCAGCTTAGCTGCTCTTTTTTGATTTGGCAGTTGACAGGAGCCGGGTTTTCCGATTTATCGCCGACAAGTTCTCGGGTGGTTTCGTAGGGCCCTTTTAGTGGGGCTTCAGACCACTTTTGGAGGGAACACCCCCCTAATAATGGGACGGGTTTATTAATCCTGGGTCAGCATTAACCTGCAGGCTCCTCACTTTTAGCCGGGGATTCCAAAGGGCCAAAACACGGCTCTTGCTCAGAGCTCATGCGCGCATTCGCATGCGATTTCGCCCGAGGCGAGCGCCTAAGCTCCACGTGTTGGTTGGAGATGCCCGCGAGGTTGATGACCAACGCCTCGTTTCCAGGCAAAGGGAAGTGCCATAGACGTCCTTGGGGAAATAGATGGGTTTTCCTGGTAGATGAGTAAACCACCTGGCAAACCAGGAATCGGCATCCATTGTTTGCCAACACAACCAAAAAGGACACCTATGCAAGTGCTGTTCCAACGAAACTTGGCGGGTGTTCGGCTGTCCCTTAAACCTTTTCGACCCAAAGGGCAATGGATTTGGCTGTCGGTTTTCTGGATACTGAAAAATGTTGGGTGTCCTGTCGGTTTGCTTTCAAACCCATGATTGCAGGGGAACATAAACATAGTGGCAAGGTTTGGGTGGGGTGTCTTTGAAACCAGTTGTTGCGTCATGACAGGCTAATCCTCCATTTACTTTTTGTCTCCGGACCACCAGGTTTGGGCGTCCCTCCAAACCAACAAAACAAAGGGCACCATCAACAAAAGCATATATGCGACCCACCCAACCCAATCAACGCCCAACCGCCACCCTTTTCGCCGGCCGGCCGAATGAGATGGGGATCCGAGGAAAAAAAAGGCGTCAATTTGCGTGGCTGGGGATGAATTGGGGACAAAGAGGGCTGGCTTCCCATTCTGCAAGCTATACCAAGCGGCTAACGAATACAACTAGGGTTTGTCCTGGAGGTGAATGAGGTGCAGGTGTTCAAAAAACTCTTTCGGGGTTGATGTTCACTAGAGTTCCTCATTGAACGAAAGACAAACTTGGGACAGCAGCACGATAAGAACATGGAAGCCCACAGCCCCACTTCAAAGGGCACCACACTAAAGAAGACTCATGTTAAGTTGGCAACTCCAAAAGTGCTATGCTCACTTGTTTAAAGGACCTAACAATGAAAGGTTACACTGTTGACTGAAAATGGACCACCAACAGGTTCTAAAGAATTGAGCATGTGAAAGGCCACAAAAAGGACATGCTCGTAAAAAAATGCCGTGGAGCATATCATCTAGTTATCCGTGTTTTTCCGACCTCCCACCCAATGATGATGCGCCACTCTAAAAAGGATTGGACTCACTCAGCATTCACCGAAAATGGGTCCCGACCGAACCAGTTGTTGCGCTTGAGGTTGAATCCTTGTTCCCCACAAGCAGCTCTAATATTCCAGCAACGGGTTGGTTCAAGGAAAGCGTTCATTTTATATAAACACCGGGCTGTCAGTTTCGGAGCTCAGGTTTAACTTTTCATGGGCTAAATGGGTGTACCCCGACTAAACCCTAAACCAAAAGCCTACTAAACCAGATGTTTTTTTGGAACTTGAACAACTAAGGACCATCATGGGCCCCAAGAAACAGAACACAACACCTGCGACACCGCAGCATCTTTGGTACGAGGTAGCTCCTCTGCCTTCGGCCAAACGCCTTCTGCAACCAACTTCCCCGGCATCCATAAGGAAGGGCACCCTTTGAGGATACTCGACTGTTAAGGGAAACCCCCCGCATTAATTTTAAAAAGGGCACCACCGGGCGTCTGACGTTTGCATGCACGCAGAAACAGGGCTACGACCTTCTGCTTGGACCCCTGCCCCCAGTGGTCATGCGACAACATGTTGATTTAAGAGGGAAACCCATCCGAAAAGAGAAAAAACACACATTTTGGGCACCGCTGGGTGAAGGGGAACCTTCACAAGAAGGGCACTGGCCGAGGCTTCGGTCTGGCACGGACCTTTTGGGCGCCGGGCGTTCTTTGGGCCTCGCCTTAGAGAGCCCCAAGGTGAGCAAAAAGCGGCGCCAAGCTTCCATTTACCTTCCATTTCAACCCTTCAACCAACAAAGGAACATATGAACCACTCACGAGAACTTAAATTGGCAAATTACTTCCATGTGCGTTTTCGGAACAAATGTAATAGAAGCAAATATGTCCAGTAGCGAAATCGATTCCCTTCAAAACCCAGGAAGGGAAAACTAAACATATAAATTTCAGAAAATAGAAGTTACAGATGCGTCCCTGGCAAACATGAGAGTATCATTCCGGTGATAGGACCCCTGTAAAATCCAGAAGCAACAAACAGCCTATTCATTGATTCATTTCAGGGTCCCCGATCCAAAGCACTAAGGCCGACTTTTTTCCCTAGGCGTGCTGGTCGAAAAATAGCTTTAGCCTCCCTGTAGATGGTGGTTTGGATTGGTGGTTTAGTGGTTAGGGACGGCTTCCCATTTACCCGGTACAGCAGGGGTTCAAAACCCCAAACCACCAACTAAGGGTCGCCTAATGAATGGCGATGGCAAATGATGAGAAACACACTTGAGCCACTTAAATTAAACCAGTCGACTCCACCTATTTTCAGCCGAGCTGACCCAAACAAACACCAACGCCTAAGGGAATCTCCCACCACAAGACTAGGGCCACGATGGCCCAAACCGAAAAACGCGGATCAAGTCCGAAACGGAACTAGGTAAGTGAGCTTCTAAGTGGGCTGCCCCCTCCCTTTCAAACAAGGAAGTACTCTCAAAGAAAACTTGACCCCCAGGACCCTCCAGTCAGGTTTCATGTCGATGTGCTAAGGCCTTACTTGTAATATAGAGGAACCCTACCGCCAAAACCTGCCTATGGGCTTGCAAAACACAAACATTATTTTTGCAGCCCTGTAAGAATGAACAGAACCTGAAAACCTTTAAAACACATGCCATGACATCCAGTGAAGAACACCGTCCGGCTCTTGGGGCAAAACCCCAAAGTCGCCGCATCGCCGCCGGCGGTCAGCTCGAGGCCTTCAGTTGTTGCAGATACCATCGAGGCTTCCGCTGAACCTTACACCCTGCGATTTCGCCCTCTGGGCAATCACCCTATTCTAGCGTCGTTTCCAGCTAGAACCTGGTTATTTTGTTTTGGATTATGTCGAGAAATGTCCCGAGAGTGTAATCCCAGGGTGATAGAAAATCAATAGAACATTAGTTCTTCATTGTTCTTGCTTTGCGGTTTTAAAGAACGGAAAAACAGCCTTTTGTTTTTTACAGAGGGGGGGAGTCAAATCCCAACAAGACGAGCCACCCATGTGTGTACCCTTCTTGTGCTCATGATTCAGGCTTCTCCTGTGGCATTTTGAACCTGCCCCACAACCCGCAAACTTGCTTCCCAGGTCCATTGCCAGAGTTGCTTCGAAACCAAAGGGGAACCAAAGACAAACCTAGGAAAACCTTGGGACCAAAGGAAAACCAAGCAAAGAGGGCCAGCTGCGGGAAACCAAAACCGAAGCCATGGACACCAAACGGGGAACCGAACGAGCCGCCTGGGAAGCAACAAAAAACCTCCGTTTCCGCCACGGCGGGAACGGCAACAGCTCAAAGGTCGGTTTGCTTGGGGCAACGTTATATTTTGAATGGACTCCTTGGATAGCAGGCTTTAACTTAATGTGGGGGCATACACGCTCGTAATGCACTTCTGAGCAGAACAATATAACAAAAAACTCAGCCCCCTTGTCAATTCTCTTGGGTCACCTTTTGCAGCAAATTCTTGCATGCCCTGGTGAGCAGCTTGGAAAACAAGGAGACAACACAAGAAACAAAGGAAAACAAAGAAAGAGAGAGAGAGAGAAAACAAGTTAGATAGAGCGAACAAACAATCAAAGAAACACCGAAACAAACAAAAACAACAAACAATCAAGCAACCAACAAAACAAACAACCAAACACACATGTACATAACAAACAAACAAGCACACAAGCAAGCACACGAGCAAACAAAAGAGGCAAACAAATCAGAAACAGGACACAGGGAGGGAGTGTGGATTGAGCCCGCTGGCATGGCGAAAAAATACTTTTCTGAGCTCAGTCCTGCCCGGCCGGCGACTCTCACACGCAAAGAGGACGTCCCCACCCCAACCCCCGGGTACATCAAAATAAGATGTTGGATTCTCCGCTTCATATGGCCGCGGCTCAAAGATATAGGGAATCAGGTAGACTAAAACCTGTGGTGACCACACCCATATGGGTGTCTGCATTTTTCAAGGTACTCTTGTTGCTTGGGTATGTGTATATAAATAAGATGTTGTTGTTGTTTTTTCTTTTTGTTTGGGGGGGGGAGAACCAACGCAACACCACCATTTTGTGCTTGGAGGAGGCCCCGCCTTCCTGCGCGACGTAACCTTTACCCAGTATCCCTGGCAGAAAAAAAAAGACTCCTCTCACTTCCTGTTTGCCACTAAAACTCCCAAAAAGTTTAAAGTCCTGATGGTAGCAAAGAGCTTTGCTTTTTGCACCCCCCAAACCAAAAAATGAACAGAACCAAACAAGCAAAAACTGATAAACAAGAAATCATGGGTTCCCATGATTTCTCAGGTGGGAAATGGAATTCGCAACCCCCCTAGTAGTAGAAAAAGCGGCTCTGTTTGAGATTGAACATGTGTGAGAATCCTCTCGCGCGCTCACTTGGGCAGATTCTCGTTGAGCGGGTGATAGCTCGGCAGGTCGTCCAGGGCGGTGGTCTTCGGCTCCTTCAGAATTGTCCGGCTCTAGAAAGTTACGGCTTGGATGCGTGATGCGGGGATTGCTTTTTCTTTTTACACCTGTCCTGAAGCAGGACTTATTTGCCAAACAAATGTGGGGCACGATAAAACACATTCCTGGCCCGAAACAGCCATTATTCATGAAGCAAGTTACTTTCGCGATCTTTTGAGGACTGAAAGGTGGATCCACCCCCGGATAACACAAGCGCACTAAACGAGCAAAACTGCGCCGTCATGTCAAGGAACAGGTGGAATTTGCATTGCGCATCCAAACCGCATCCAAAGAGGCAACAGAAGCGGCTTGGATACGAGGGAAACAAGTACGGGACTTTTGCCTACGTTATTTGCAAACAGAACTGGTCCAAACAAATGAAAACGTTGAGTTTTGCAAGCGCGCTTATTCATAGAAGGGAAGTTATTATACACTCCCCCTTTCACTCGCCATACTACAGGTTGGTGACGGCAATTGTGGAGTCATCACGAAAGCCCCGTGCCACTTCGCAGAAAACAACAACGGGGTTAGAATAGATCACATCTAACTTGACCAGACTTAGACCCCTGCAAAAAGGTAGCTGTTTTACTGGTCACAAGCTAACACAATGGAACATCAAAAGGCAAAATGTAAAAAAGGAAAGCTAAGTTTGGCAATGACAAGTCAGACCTTCGTGTTTGACAAAGCGCGGGCCTTCTTTGAGGACCTCCCCACATGGGCTGCACAAATTAATTAGTTCTCAAGCTGGATGTATGGGAAAGCACCTCTATGATGGGCGAGATTGTTCTACTAGGCGAGCTCGCCGTCATTCTCCTAGGTTGGGTTTAACAGTTCCATGTCAGTCTGTCAAGCCTTGCCGTTTTCCCCTCTACATTCTCTCTTCCAGCCCCTGCATAAAGTTATGAATCCTTCGGCTCCCGTCTGAAGTAGTCCTTTCAGAGCCTGGACCAAAACAACACGCAACCTAAACGTAGCAATCATGTGCAGCCTGAGGGATGCCAGTTCAGGCATCTGTGCGATATCAAAACTGTGCAAAACCAACAAGCAATCAAGCAAAGAAACAAAGAAACAAAGAAACAAACAAAAAAGCAAAGAAGCAAAGAAGCAAAAAAGCAAAGAAGCAAAGAAGCAAAGAAGCAAAGAAGCAAAGAAGCAAAGAAGCAAAGAAGCAAAGAAGCAAGCAGGCAAGCAGGCAAGCAGGCAAGCAGGCAAGCAGGCAAGCAGGCAAGCAGGCAAGCAGGCAAGCAGGCAAGCAGGCAAGCAGGCAAGCAGGCAAGCAGGCAAGCAGGCAAGCAGGCAAGCAGGCAAGCAGGCAAGCAAGCAAGCAAGCAAGCAAGCGGGGAAGCATGTGCACATCTTGGAGGGTAACTTCTGTTTTGCTCAGGTCCTTGCTGATGCGGTAGGTGCCCCACTTCTGCTTAGCCGCCAGCCGCTTCTTCTTGCCCGCCCGGGCCTGCCGCAAAGGCGAATCCGTGGTCAAAGCCGCAGTGAGTCATATTGCGGGTCAAAAAAAAGAGTACCCAAAATTCAACCCTGGGAAATGGACATATGCACTAAAATCTGCGGTCCCTTGGTTGGATAATTTTGACCCACAGCCATATGCCAAATATGCGGCAAAACTAAGGTATCGACTTCTTGGCAAAGAGCCCGAACATGAAACCAAACATTTAAGGGCGTGTGGAGCCCTCTGGAACCGGTTTGAAGGGCAAATAACATGATAAACCAGCCAATCTGGAAACAAATCCACGGCGCAACCAGCCCTAATGGTGGCAACTTTGACCCACCAAACAAACTTGAATGTTGTGCCAGTTGGTTGTAGGCGCAAAGTCAAGGCCGACGAAGAAGGCCACTGGGCCGCCGTTCTTTTCATTGGGCACGTGACTGGCATCTTCTTACCCGCAACCCAATGGGTGTTCACATTATTCTCAGTTGCCCCTTTGGGACCTGTTTATAAAATGTGATCACCTTTTCGGACCTCTACTAAAAATAGACCAAGGGAAAACCACATGGTCAGGTCCGGTCGATTCGCTTTGAACAGCTCTTCGTGTTTAGAAGGCCAACTCTTCAGTTGCCTTCCATTTGGCTTTGCCAAGGAGCCAACACCCCCATACTGTGGATGGACGAAATCCATTTCGCACCAATTGAAACCATAGGACACCATGGTTGGTTGGGTTTTATAGGGGGATCATGATTCCAGGGTTTCTCAAGTGGTGCAGGATTTCGTCCATCCACAGTAGCTCAACGTCCCCAACATCTGACACAACTTTAGCTTGGCCTAGGCGAAATCGGCCGAAGTCCACTTCTTAAAGGGCAGGGAGCTGTTGGAAGTAGTCTTACCTTTACACTTACACGCATACTGTGGAGTGACGAATCTTGCCCCACTACGAAACCATGGGACACAACTATTTGTTGGTATTTGCAAGGTCATCATACAGGGTGTCTTAGGTGGTGCAGGATGTCGTGCATCCACCAGTATGCTTCAGATTTTGCTTCATACCTACTCAACCTTAATTGAAACTGTTGACATGGGCTTATGTTTTGTTGATACCCCCTTTAAGCCGGTGTGAAGGAAAGCTCAAAGGCCAACCGCTATCTTGGCAGGTCCCAGTGTTTTGACTCATACGATACCTGGAAGATCAATGTCCTCCCCCGTCAGGTGCCATGGCAAGGTGGGAGCAAGGCTACCCATTTTCCCTCCATTTGCAAATGCGTCCCCTGGGAAGGAATGAAAAGAACAAGTCCGGTAGTGAAATCCATTCTCTTCAAAACAAAGGGAACAACAAACCATATTCATTTCAAAGGGAAGTTGGAGCGAATACTCTGCCAAAAGGACCTGGAAACCACCTTTGCAAGCTGTTGGGTTGCTTTGACTAATGGGACAAAACTGGAAAAAAACAAAAAGGACGGCTTCACCGATACGTACGGTCACCTCTTCGGGTGGGAACCCATCCTTGACCCCAAAGCTTGGTTGACCTTGGGTTTGGGGAGCAGAAATAAAGTTTAGCAGTTAAGTGGTTGGATTCCCACCACTAAACCACAAGAAGCCAAAATGGGAAAAATGTTTCGCAACAACAACCATGACTAGGGGCTGAAAACCCCCAATCCGCTTGGGAAGAGAAATCCTCTAAGGTCCGGGCGGAGGGTTCAGCGGCTGGATCCATGACAGTGTTCAGTTCTCTGTTGTTCTTAGTCCAATGGACTCACCCCCCCAACCGAGATGGGATCCAAAGAAAAGTCCCCGAAGCGATCCTTTTGACTTGGTTGCTTTCTGCTCCC